CCAACGGAGCCTACTGAGCTGAATTCGATGCGATAGCGAGTTCGTGTTCGATGCATTCCCAAATATCCGACGAATTACATTCAAGTTACTAACCCGCACATTCCATCCCATTTGGGCCAGACTACGTAAGCATCGATCTTCGAACACTGTTTTCTACCCGCAAATTCAAGGTCTCACAACCGTAAAGCAGAACTGATCGTACAAGGGCGCAGTTTACACGAGTTTTCAACTTTCGTGACACGTCACGTCGCCGCCACGGGTGTTTTAGTCCTGCGTACGCTGCTCGAGCCTTGGAAATGTGAGAAAAATTGATGATTTCCAGAACATGAAACATGAAAAAGTGCACAAAAACATTGGGATTATTATGCTTCAGAAAAGTTGATTACATCCTGAAATTGAGGACGGTGTTGTCCGGTTTAATCGAGGTGATCGGAATGTGGACTGTAACAATAGAGATGGTGGCGTAGTGGTTACTTTTGTCAACCATAATGCAGTGTAACAACTCTCATCTTTTGTTTGATTTTAATGCCAGAAAAATTAGGCGCATTGTCGTTCAATATAAACCCAGTTTCCTCAGTAAACTTCAGCATATTCAGCTAGCCCCTNGTTTTCCGACTCTTTCGTAACACAATTCGTGACAGGCTTAGACCAGTCCTTGTACATTGCAGTTGATGATTCCAATCGTTCTGAAATTTCTTTCTAAAGAAAATTACCTTTCACTTATCTTGTGTACTTCCCCGCTCGCGTGGAGGCTCAAATCACCTCACCGCGCAGCAAATGCGATTTGTGTTTTCTGATCAGAATTTTTGCAGCAAAACTCAGACTTTCATATTAAGTAGTAAGTGAACGACTGGACCGAATTTCCCAGAAACACATGACCGATTTCGCGGTCCAGCGCAGAAAAGGCATCTGTTACTAAATAGAATCGAAAGGCTATTCCCCCCCGCCGCTGTCCATAAAACATTTTTAATCCACAGGGAACGTGTTCATTCATCATGTTCTAAGGCTGATTTCAGACAAACTGACCTGATTGGACAATTCTATTGACTAGACGGCTCGGTAACAGAGTTGAAACGGGGGGAGAAATTTTACAACGGAATCGGGGGGGAGGGAGGAGAAAATATAAAACCAATCGATATTGATCAGCTGATGCAGAACTACAACGGTCACAAATAAAATATGAAAACTTACATCGGGTCGTGATAAATCCGGGGTGACAATTGTTGGTTGACGAAGTTGCAACATCATGGATTGCTAAACAAAAAGAATGGAGATGGCAATAATTCGATTTTATCGGAACATTTGTTTATACGTCCGTATTGACAAATCAATCCGTCTAATCCATTTGAACCCATGGCATACGCGCACACAAAAACTCCAATTGCAAAAGGATGAATGAACTGGGAGACACTAAAACATTCGTCTCGTATTGTCCGGGGTGTTTTGTTGGATGATCCATGCATCAGCGAGTCCAGAAATGTCTGGTGTGACTACGACCTAAGAATGATAATGATGTCTGAGCATTAAATCACGTGACACCGGAGAGGACCAACCTCGACAGACTAGATAGATGAACAGGGTGTCCGATGGATGATCTCTCACTCGCGGAGTTCAATCGCGTAAGAATTCGATTATTTGTCACAGGGAAGACAGATGCACACCACTTCCAAGACAATTTTGTAACAATTGGCAAGTTCAGTCTACTTGATAAATAAAATAAGACACGAAATTCACTTCTTGACCTTCATAGACAGCGCAGGGGAATGTATCGCGCATGTCACCAAACAGACTGTCACGGCGAGCGATGTTTGCCGCGGCAGGTAGTAGGTGGTAAAAGGCCCTGAGCGGTCGAACCATGACTTGGCATGAGGGTATGAAAACCCTAACCAGGAGACTAGGTTATATAGGCCCCGTTAGGCTCCCTGGCTGGGGACCCCGAGATCATAGTCACTGATGGTTAGTGAAGGAGGTAAACGGTGGCGCTCATGCATGTAGTAGTTATGCTTGTAATCTTGGTCTTCATGAATTCTCCATTTTCACTCTGACACTGGTTAGATCCATTGAATAAAATAAGTAACACAATATGAGCGGAACTGATGATATTGGCCATCAATTTCGTGTGCTCTCAATTTGCTATCTACGAATATNNNGATCAAATGTTATAAGAAGAATACCATATATGGACATTTATATGATTATATAGTTTCAGGTGGAAAGAATTGGCTTGTTGAGTCATTATCAAAGTCATTTGGGTGGGCCTAGATACCCTCGGGTTAAGCAGAGCTGAATGCTACCAGACGCGTCCCCGGGTTGTGGATACGAAGATACCTTCACCAAAGAAGGTTAACTGTGAATACGCTATGGAATACCGCAAGAAATAAGCAGTCGCGAAGAAACTTCATGATCACGATCATGTCTGGAGCCGGCTCATCCTTTCCAAGGAGTCAACCGCAGTAAGCGAAAAAGTTTATATTAGTTGTGTGCAATTCTTCTCAGCTGCGATCAAATCCAACCATTGTTTCGCTTCGATGTGATCGATTTTTTTCCCTCTTCGTTGATGTCTTGATGAAGAAACTTTCGTTAATCGTGGAACGAATCGGATTTGTGTTTATTTCAAAGCGTTTGTGCAAGTGAGAAAATGAGCACGATGAGATGAGGGACCGGGGTTGAGATGTGAGGGGAACGAGACGGGAGCAGAAGAATTATCACTGCAACATCACAAAAGCCTTTTGTACGCAGAGTTCAGGCCCCAATATCAATTCTGCTCAAATGGTGTGACTTGTTTTATTCAAATAGATCAAAAGGGGAGAGAGGGATGTTTCCGATACTGATTATTAGATCATTTCTTTCTTCCATTCCGCTCGTTCATCCAAATGGACAGTCCAAAGACAACAACCAAAAGCAGCGTACGAGAAAATGCATGGCTAATGATTGTGAAAACTGAACTGAACTAGTCCTCCAGTAGTGGTTTCAATATGGAGCCTTCACGATACCGGTGGATTCAAACAGGAGTTGTAAACAGGCCGGAGTAACGCGAATGTACATACAGTACGTAACTGAAACAACCAAACTACCCGTCGTATCTACTAGCCTTTGTTTGTATTCACAGCAATTTATTCCCTCGCTGTTCCTCGCCGATTCAGTTCAGACCGCAGATTGGTTGGCGTAAACCGCCACACAGCATATTCTTGGGTGATGAGAGCGGACGGGTACCCTGGGTACTCCAACGATTACCAGGAATCAGTTCTAATTCATTTTGAAATCGAATTCCGAAAGAAACTCTGATTACATACGCTAATGTGAATTGTGCATTGAAATATAAAACAAAATGCGAACTAGTAAAGTGGACTAGATGACAGGGATTGAATTGTGTGTGTGTGTGTGTGTGTGTGTGTGTGTGTGTGTGTGTGTGTGTGTGTGGATATCCCGCGGGGGGAGGGAGGAAAAATCGGACTCACGTAGGACTCGATAGGAGACACGATAATCTGTGTCCCGATACCACCGCCCGTGTACGGTGAGAGGGATGTGGTGTCCACATTGATGGAAATTTCCGACGAAGAAATGACTGAAAGCCCGCGGGGGGAGGGGAAGTACACCGGGGAAATAGATAGAGTGGTCGAATGAAGCACATCGACAACGTTTATGATTAGTAAATGCCAAATCGTGAACAAATCACTGATGCTGTATGACAGTAATGGAAGATTTGATTGATTTATATGATGAATTTATCGTGTGAATGAGGCGTGAGATGAAAAGGACTGTACAGCTATTTTGACTTAGTTGGAGCTCATCAGCACACTGCACGAATCCATCGACCCATGTGGGGACCGAATCGAGGATCTCGGAGGGAGAACGTAAAGATACTACGCACTTGACCACCGAGCAGCTGATCAGACCGTTTCACTAGCTGTGAGGTCCCGGGTTCGATTCTTAGTTGGGCCGATGGATTCGCACTGCAGATGAGACCCAACCAGGTCGAAACAGCTGTCTGGTGCTTTCAGCTCACACGATGAATTCATCATATCAATTACCAATGCGTCTTCAGAAATACTATCCATATCTGATGTTACGAATACCAAAGAAATAAACCCTATCTGCTTTCATGGGCGAAATGGTCTCCCTACAGATCACAGCATCGGGTACGACACCGAAATGGAAGTCCACAATTACAAGAAAGTTCGACGTTGACACAGAAGACGTGGAGTGTCCAAGTGTGAGATAGGAACGGTAGAGTTTCGTGCAATATAAAATTGATCGAAATAGATGAAACACACAAATCCCTGTGTTGGTTGGTATCAACATAGGCCAGCGCTGACGCACCCTGGTTGATCTTCAACGGTAGGTGACTGGGAATTTGGGGTTTTGCGGTAGTTCATTTAAACGGTGGAAAACAAAAGAATATT